TGATGCATCAAATTGGCCATCACCGCAGCTTAGTTTTATTTACAAACCTTAGTTACAAAGATAGTCACAGTCTATGTAAATCTGTCCTACAGCACATGTGAAGAGAAACTTCTGGATGCTCAGTGTTTGACACTAACAGGGGGTGAGGGGAACTGTCTTACTCTTACTCTGTTTCCTGTGGCCATAAAGGAACATGTGAAGCTGGGTAACGTATAAAGGAAAGAAGTGTATGTGGCTCACAGTTCTACAGGCTGTATGAGAAGCCTGGCTCAGCTTCTGCTGAGGGCTCTTGTGCTGTCAAAACACGGTGAAGAAGTCTCTTTTCACATGTGCCAAGGTGGAGCAGCCACATAGGAAGAAAGACCAACCTGAGGGGCATCCTGGCTTTATAAAAACCCACTGTTAATAGGGACTAATCTTTTCCAGTTTCGTAAGAGCAAGAACTCACTCACTACCACAAGAATGGCACCAAGCTGTCTGTGAGGAATTGCTCCTGTGACCCAAACACTTCCCACTCAGCCCCACTTCCCAAATACCACCACACTGATGGTCAAATTTCAACACAAGATTTGGTAGGGAAAAACAAACCATGTCCAAACCATAGCAGGGGCTATACCTGAGAAGCTGATCTTCAACTCACCTTCTCTTGCACTAAGTTCTCAGATTGCTCTGGGACTGTTAGGAAGCATACCTCGGGACTAACTAAGCATACAGCTAGAGTCTGCAGAGCAATTGGAAAGAGGCAGGAGGGAAGAGACAGCCTGAAGCCTCCCGTCTGTAAAACTCTTGACCATGTTTGCAGCCCCATCAGACAGTACCAGGAGCAACTAAGACCCTTGTGAGCCTTTAGGCTCAGAAATTGTGCAAGCCCACCTGGGAGGAAATCATTGTGTTCCCCACACTAAAGAGCCATCAACACACAGGTAAGTTATGTTATCACTTACCTATATTAAAAGAATTTGTATCCTCTGCCTGTGCTTACTGGGGTCTCCATTTGAGCGGCTGACAGCCTGTTTATCAAATAGAGCCATAAATCCACTGCAACAAAATCACACGTGCCCAAGTCTATGCTGATTCCCAAAGCACGTGAGACTACCTAACACATAAAATCTTTAACAGTCTTTAAAACACTGCCCACAATGTGTTAAATACATACAACACAACTCAAAAACATGACTTAGTGCAATCTGTTAAACTGATGCAGAAATACATTATCTGTTCAGTATAATCTTCAAATCACTTAATTCTATACTATTTCCCTCCCCTAATGAAAGTGAAAACTATAAATATCCTGGAAGAACAAAATCACTTCAGGTTTTTTGCCCCCCCCCCATCCTCCACAATCCCTTAAATTGTTCACATTGTTCCTAGTTGAATAATAATTATCAATTGTGTGCAGCATCAATTTCAGTTTTATTGGCAAAGGAAGAAGATGGACAAGGAGGAAGGTGAGGAGGAAGAGGAGAGAAGGCAGGGGAAAGGAAGGGAAGGGGAAGAATGGAAGCATTTTAGAACATTTCAAATAATTCACGGGCTTAAATTAAGCAGAAAAGCTGTTTTCAGAATATGAATAATTTGAAAAACATGATCAAACTATAAAACTTCTGACATACAAAGAAAACTAGACTTCCAAGTGAATGCAAAATACTAACAAAATGGAAGAAAAATCAGTGTTAGGATGAATACACTGAAGAATATGAGTAAAGACTGAAGAACACGGTAATTTCTAAGTCATGCCTTCTGCCTCAATTCCAGTCTATCACATCACAATGCTTGGGCCCCATGATAGTTTGAAATATTACCAGTAGACCTGCGAGAGTAATAGAAAATTATCATTTCAAGTAGGTCATATATCTAGAGGAAGGGAATCTGCTGTAAGGCTTATCTAGGTTACTTTAAAACGAAGTAAATTCCATTTTCAAAATTATGTCACTTGATGAAGTCATTTTGCCAGGGTGAAAATGAATGAGGCATTATAGAATCTTTCGGTATGAGAACAGATCCCAAATCTTAGTGATTAAGAAAAAAAAATCACCTCTTCTGGTAAGCAACCAGCCTCATTAAAAATTTGTGTTAAATAAAAGAAATATAGATTTATAAGTCACGCCATTAGCATCGCAGAGTACGAGAGGGACGCTGTCTCAGCAATCATTCAATCTAACTTTGTTTTATAGAAGCAGCAACTTCCGTTGCTAAATAAATTTGTAGTAGGTCTGGCATTCAACCCACATCTTAGGATGCAAGTTCCACGGTCTTACCATGTCGCTTTTCTAGGTGTCACTGTTAGGTGTGTAAAGCAGCTTCATCAGCTTACAAAGCAATTTCATTTACAGCAGTGATTTTCAACCAGTATGCCCTGAGAGACCTAAGGTGTGCCATGGAGATTTTTTAAAGGTCATTAATTAAATTATTTTTGAAAGAAGTTCAAAGCACAGTTAAGTATATTCTTTTCTTTACTCTTTCTTTTGATCAACATAATTTAAGTGTGCTGCAGAAGTTTAACTACAGGTTCAAGTGTGCCATGAGAAGGTTGAAAAACCCTGACCTAGGGGCTTTGATGGATCTACTTCAATAAATATAATTTATGGTGCCTAAGTAGTCTTTTGGAAGAACAGACTATCAAGGTGTCTGAACAGAGACATCAACTTCCAGAGCATCTCAGTAAGGAGAAGTTTAGATAAAAGAGAAGAAAACAAACAAAGAGTGGGTGTGGGTGTGAGGTAGGGTGCCAGAACCTTGAGAGACCCCATGGGAGGAGGCTGTAGAGCAAAACATGAAGAAGGAAGGAACGAGCAGAGATCAACCCCCGAGAGGCCTGGGGCCCAGTGAGAAGGGTAGGTGGAACAGTTTGTTTCTCCCTCCCTCACATCTCTGACAGGCAGTAGGTTCCCAAGCTGCAGGAGAGACTTTCCTCCCACATGAGCCCACGAGCTGCTGCCACCAGCAAGCTGGGAACCAAAGTTGCAACAGCAGGCACCATACAGCTTCAGCTCCCACCATGTGCCTTTGTCCTCCCCAAGGGGTTTTAACTCCTCAGTTTTGTCTAGCTCATTCTCAGACAGACATTTTCTAATTCCAGCCCAGACTGCAAGAGCCACAGGGATCTAGTGGGTCCTGGGTGGCCGTGTGACTCCAGAGCTGAACATTCTGTGTGGGCAGCCTCCTGGAAAAAAGGGCAGACACAACCAGAATGCTAATTTGCCTCCATGTAAGACTTTCTCCCCTGTCCCTGCCCGCTCCATGGCTGCTGAGACAGAGAATTGAGCCAGCACAGTGAGACTTCCACAGAAAGTGGAGTTCAGAGCTTCCCTCTGGGGGTCCCACGTACACTGAGGGATGCTCAGACTGTGAGTTCCCTGCCCAAGCCCAAATAGGCACAGATGGAACATTATAAAGTCATATAAGACAAAAGCCTAGTCAACACCACACTGATGGGGGAAAACTAAAAGGATTCCCATTTAGACCTGGAACAAGACAAAAGTTGCCTGTCACCACTTCTATTCAACAGAGTGGTGGAAGTTCTAGCTAGAGCAATCAGATAAGAGAAGGAAACCAAGGGTATCCAAATGGGGACAGAAGAGGTCAAACTATCCCTCTTTGCTGATGATATGACCTTATAGCTGGAAAACCCCCAAAGAATCTGGCAAGAGACTCCTGGCATTGATAAATAAATGCAGCAGAGTCTTGGACTACAAAATAAATATATACAAATCAATCACATTCCTATACACCAACAATGGTCAAGCTGAAAATCAAATCAAAGACTCAATACCTTTCACAATAGCAACAAACCAAATAAAATATCCAGGAATAAATTTAACCAAGGAGGTAGAAAACTTCTACAGGGAGAACTACAAGTCACTGAGGAAGGAAATCATGGAAGATGTAAACAAGCAGAAACACATGCCACGCCCGCAGACTGGCACTGTTAAAATGTCTGTACTACTCAAAGTGATCTGCATGTTTAATGCAATCACCATCAAAATATCACTATCATTTTTTGCACTAGAAAAAAATAACTCTATGCTTCATATGGAACCAGAAAAGAGCCTAATAGCCAAAGCAACCTTTGACAATACAAACAAATTGGGAGGCATCACTTTACCAGACTTCAAGCTGTAGTGCAAGGCTATAGTAACCAATACAGCACGGTACTGACACAAGAACAGACAAAGACCAATGCATTGGACCAGAAAACCCAGATGAAAAACCAAGCAACCCCATAAAAAGTAGGCAAAAGACATTAACAGAAGCTTTTCACAAGAAGATAGACTAATACCCAATAAACATATGAAAAAATGTACATCTCATTATCAGGGAAATGCCAATGAAAAACTAATGATATATCACCTAACTCCAGTAAGAATGGCTTTCATCAAAAAATTGCAAAACAACAAATGCTGGCTTGGGTGCAGTGAGAAAGGTACACCCATACACTGCTGATGGAACTGCAAACTAGTACAACCTCTGTGGAAATTTCCATGGAGATACCTTAAAGGACTAAAAGTAGGCCTACCATTTGATCTCGAAATCCCACTATTAAGTATTTACCCCCCCCCCAAAAAGTTATTTTATCAAAAAGACACATGTACTCAAATGTTTATTGCTGCACAATTCACAGTCACAATTCGGGGAACCAACCCAAGTGCCCATTAATACATGAATGGATTTATAAATGTGATGTATGTATACCATAGAGTACTACTCAGCCATAAAAAATGGTCAGCTAATACCATTTATAATAACTTGGATGGAACTGGAGACCATTCTTCTAAGCGAAGTATTATAAGAATGGAAAAACAAACACCCCATGTACTTGCTATTAAATTGGAACTAATTGATCCACACCCATGTGCCAGTTGGGTAGAAAAACTCAACAGAAAGTAAACAAGTAGAAGCAAGGAGGAGGGAAGAGGCAAATTCATACCTAACAGGTACAATGCACACTTACAACCTTGACTCAAACTGTAAAAAAATCAATTCTTTTAACTGTTTGTATCCCCATAATATTCTGAAATTTTAAAAATCAATGCAGAATAACCCAGTTAATCTGCTAATATTTATTACTACAGAAATAATTTTAGAGGTAGTTTATTAATGAGGCACTTTAAATTTATTTTTTGAGTACATGCTTACAATCTGGTTTAACATTTTATTAATATTAATTTTCCTAGTTGGAGACCTTAATAGTAAATACTTCTTTAAATCATCATATTCATATCCTGCAATTCAAAGCATTATCTTAAAATGAAAAGAAAAAAAGACTTTTTAGAGTGTAAGGATAACATGTTGAAGAGGTTTTCAAAAAGTTAGTTCCAGTGTTCTTTGGCTTTCTATTATGGCTGCATCATCTTACGAGGAGGACGTTAGCTCAGTGAGACACAGGCCAGCATTCATGAATACATCTCAGTGAGTCAAATCACTCTCATGTGTGTGATCATTTGCAAGTAAGATGAAAACAGCAACCTTAGTAATAGCACTAAGGCTTCAGGTCTGAACCAGTAACATCATTCCTAAAGATAGCAGCAATGTACAGACTGAACCTCAGGGTACCTATCAGGTAATGTTAAAGATTCACATATTTTCTCCCTGGAATTAGTTCCAACAAAATCTTCCATAGAATCAAGCAAAAATATATTTTTTTCTCCCTACTTATTCTTCATTATCTTTAGCTTCCGAAGCTTCATATATTGGTCCATCAAAAGAAGAATTGGCTCTGAACCAAAAATAAAAAGAAAGAAAAAAAACTCCAGAGTGTTCTATGATGCCCTGAGAGTATTAGTGTGTGGCTTCCACATGAAAGTTGTCAAACTGTGCAAATTCAAAGGAGTGAGTTCCAATAGCAGCCCAGCCATTCTTCGGAAAATTCACAGGGACGTCTGTCCACAGATGCTTGTCATTCAACATTCCAGAAGCAGAATGACCCTGGAACAGAGGTCAAAGCATTAGCCAAGAACCAAAATAAATCTGTATTTAAGTCTTAGAACTGTAATGCAATGGGCCTTAATTTAGTTCTTTTATTTTATTGAAGACACTGAAGCTTAACAAAATTAAAACTCAAAAAAATTGATTTCATATATGTAATGAGAAGTATTAATGTAATTCATATATTAAAGCAAAAATTATTAACAGCAAGTTCACAACAGAAAAAAAAAGTATAGATTTACCAATAGAGCTAGGACTTGAATCCAAGTTACCTAACTCCAAATTCAGAGACATGTTCCTATTGTTACACACCTATAACATTGCTCTAACATTGCTTACAGAACATCTTCTGCAGCTACCTGACAATGAATATTAACTGTGAGCCAAGGGAGTCATATGCACATATCATATTATACACAAAACCTGTCTAACAGCACCTCATCTCCTCCTTCTACTCCCTTGTCCCTGGGCTTAAGCCACCTGGGCATTCTGGTTGCTCCTTGCACAAGGCCAGCCATGCCTGCCTTTGGCACCAGTTGTGTGAACTACTCAGATTGTATTTCCCATCATTCAGGTCTGAACTCAAATATCACCAACTCAGGAAGGTCTTCTCTGATCTCCCTGGATAAAGAATACCCTATTTTTTCTTCATAACTATTTATGTATGTATTTACAAGGGCATTATCTTAGAGCAGGGGTAAGCAAACTCTAACCCACAGGCCAGCCACCTATTTTAAAATTTTATTGGCACAAAGCCATACCCAGTCATTTACTTATTGTCTAGGGTTGCTCGCTCACTACCGCAGAGTTGAGCAGCTGCAACAGACTCTAAAGCATCTGCCACCTGGCCCTTCAGAAGATATGCTCTAAGACAGCAGGAATCTTGTCTGTCTTGTCCAGTGCAGTATTCCTAGTGCTCAGGAAACTGCATACAGTAGAGGCTTGGTAAAAAAATAAAATATATTTAACCCTAAAAGCAACCTTACAGACATTATCTCCATTTTACAGATAAGGAAACAGATACTCAAAGAAATAAAATGACTTACTGGAAGTCTATATGTCAGCAAGAAAACCTGCATACTGGTCTGTCTGATTCCAAACACTCCTAACTCCTTGGAATATTAATTTAATCCATTAAGTGCTTACCACATATCCTGTATTGTACTAAAATTTCGCATATGTTATCTCACTGAATCAGCATAAAAAGATATGTCTCTGTGATGCTATAGGTGAGACATCTGAAGCTGGGCAACACAAAACACTTGCAAGTGGAACATCACAGACTTCAATGTCTGTTCTAACCATGCCAAAAGCTGGCATTTACTGAGAGAGTTCAACAAGTGGCCAATGTTAAAATGATAAAATCCTCATATGAACTGTAATTTGGAATATGGACAACATAGAAGATGGTGTTTGGGGTCTTTTGTACCTATGCAAGAACAGGTATATGCCAAGTGCTGTTTAATGGACTAGGAATTTAGGATGACAAGAAAGACAAGGTCCCAGTTTGTAGTGAGCTTACCCTCCAGTAGAAGGAGACACACAAACACACATATACTAAATGAAAGCTGAGGAAGGACTGGCTTGCTGAGAATTACAATAGGTTAATGCGACAATGGATGCCTGAGAGACCACTTTACATTGCCAGCTAGAGAAAATACTCAACTCTCAGAGTGTACAGCATAAAACTGAGATACAAGAGAGAAGCAGAATGCTCACAGCTTATGAACAGGGAACGACGGGGGTAAGGGAGTGGAGTGGGTGCAAACCAGCAAAATCCCTATCCATCCTAGTGGCTAGACAAGAGCCAATTTCTGAAAGTAATAAATCATGTTATATCAAAGACATACCAGAAGAAACAACTAAAATAGTCATGAGTGACTGTGTGAGAGATAGAGAACACAGCGAGGTATGAGGAGGAAGGAACAGAGATACGGTACGGCAGGAGGAAGCTGCATTCAATAGCCCTGTAGATTTTTAACCATATATGCAAAGTATCTTTATAAAGTTAATGTATTTTTTGAATCTCATTCACAATTTAAAGAATTTGTTATTTTCTAAAAACAAGCCTAACCAGAAATATACAAAAGGTACAGAATAAAGCCTGAGAGACACAGTGGGAGATGTCGATGAAAGGTGACATACAGCATGCTCTTGTTCCTATCTTCTATGGGGAAACATGTTATCATTTAAAATGTTATTTTCCCCCAAATTGATATATAAATTTGATGTAAAGCTGTTTTTAAAAATTCAAATAAAAGAGTAAACATACTAGGATAGCAAAGATAATTTTGAAAAAGAAATCATGAAGAAACTGCCTCATTGGATATCCACTCACTGACTAAGTATCCTTTGAGCTCTTGCTCTGCCCATGTGCCCAACCCTTTTTGGGCACTGCAGAGCCAGCAAGGGATAATCAGAAGAGAGGCCTGCCATGAAGGAGCTGTGTGCTAGTTAAGGGAGGAGGACAAACACATAAGCAATCAGTAGAATATGCACCATGTCAAGTGAGGATGAAAGCTTTAGAGAAAGATAAAGCAACTGAAGAGGGACCGAGAGTGAGATGGGGCACTATTTTACAGCAGGTGACCAGGAAAGAATTCTGAAGGAAGTGAGGGAGTAAGCCTCACAGTCAAAGCATTTAGAAAGCTAACATAATTTAAAGTGTAATTTGGGATAGCAGACAAACACAACGATATGAAAAAAGGAAAGTTCAGAAAAAAGCCTATGCACACATGCTGATATGTTACATCGAAAAGTTGGCCTTCAAATGACGGGCAAAAGACAGTCCATGGAATAAATGATGATGGCCACCCATTGGTTTTTTAAAAATTATATTGGATATTTCCTCTTATGTTTCACGCATAAATTCCAGATACACAAGGCTTAAACAATAAAAATAAATTCTAGACTTTGTTAGTTTAGGGGAAAATTGTTACTAACGTTGAGAAAGGGAAAATTCTTCTTAAATAAAACATAAAAGCAATGAAAAGGGGGGGGGGAATCTAACAGTATCAAAATTTAAAAATCTATTCATCAAAGATACCATACGCAAAATTAAAATACACACGAAAGAAGTGAATATCTGTAACATATATAATAGACAATGGGTTACTACCCAGAATGTATAATAAAGTCATAAAAATCTATCAGAAAAAGACAACATGATATAAAAATTAAGAAAGAATGTGCTTTGAAGGTACAGGAAAGCACATTTTACCTCCAGGCATTATGACTGCAATACCTACCTGAATAGTTAACGTGAGTGTATACCATACTTTTGCTGTAACGTCAACACGTCCTAAAGCATATATGATCCATCCAGCTATAACACAAAAAGAGATTTGCTTTATTTTTAAATCAAAAAATGGATTTATTTTTTAAAATCGCAATTGTAGAACCATTTAACTCAGTGGAGTGACATTTGTATGTAGTAAAGTCAGCCTTAGTAAAGAATTATATCCCTTCATTCCCAAATCTACAACTGATTTAAGCCAAAATATCATTCATTGAGCCATGCATTGAATAATATCCTACTTGAGCCAGACTGTATGTGAGTTCATAACAGAACCAGTGAAATAAACTTAAACCAATGACATTTATAGTTCACATTTATAGTTCAGGTATACATCTATATCTGATTGGATTGAATATGGAGGATACGAGGGAGGAGACCAAGACTACCATAATATTTCCATCTATCTAACCAGTTTCCATCTGTCTAACTGATTACATGGTCACAAAATCAACTTAGAATTAAAGGAAGAAATAATAAGTTAATTTTTTAGGTTTACTAGGAAAAAACACAGGATATTAGGCAGCTTAAAACACTGAATGGTAGAGACTAAAGACAGAGATTTAAACTCCTAGTTCCAACTCTGCCACTAAATAGCTTTGAGATATTGAGCAAATCAATGAACTTCACTGACTCTGTTTTCCACTGAGAAATCAGTGAGGTACCATCCAGATTGTAATGCTATAAATACACAATTCCTACTCTAAGGTTCTCACTACTTGCTCCCTCCTTAATTTTTGTATTATTTATAGTCAAGTCATAGGGCAGCAAACTGTAAAAGAGAAACCTTTAATTTTTTTTTTTTTTTTTTTTTTGAGACAGAGCCTCAAGCTGTCCCCCTGGGCAGAGTGCCGTGGCATTACAGCTCACAGCAACCTCCATCTCCTGGGCTCAAGCGAGTCTCCTGCCTCCGCCTCCCAAGTAGCTGGGACCACAGGCGCCCGCCACAACGCCCGGCTATTTTTTGGTTGCAGCCGTCATTGTTGTTTGGCGGGTCCGGGCTGGGGATTCGAACCCGCCACCTTAGGTGTAGGTGGCTGGCGCCTTAGCCGGTTGAGCTATAGGCACGGAGCCGAGAAACCTTTTATAAATGCAGGAGAAAAGTCAAGAGACTGAGAATCAAGAAAAGGTACCACCAATATGGCCTAGTTTCAAGGGAGTGCGGTGTTTGAAAACCAACGTGAACTGGAAGCAGCTCGACTTGAGCATATTCTAAGTATCTATTCTGGGTAAAACAGTATTCTACCATGAGATGAATAAGAAAAGTCAAGCTGTTTTCAAATATTAACTAAATAAGGAAATAAGTTTTATCCATTTTAAGCAGATCAATCACTTTGCTGATGTTCCATCAGCAGAAGTGCTGTATTATTAAGGTCTTGCTTTTATTAATGGTGGTTCCTGAGGATTCTCTCCCTAGCACTACCACCTCACCCTAGTTATGCAAATCTTACCCTCATAACCTCTCTCAACTCTACAATACCCTACAAAGTTTGTACAATTATCTCCTTCACTGAGCTTCCCATTTCTATATGAAGTAAATAACTCTCTACAATTTTTAATTGCTTGGTATTTGCTTCCTAATGTTGAATCTCTTCCCAGTTGATGCCTAAGCACCTTTAGGCAGAATTCTTTTATTGCTCCCATAGATAACAAGCAGATATCCAAAGTAACATAATCACACAGTAAGTCACATGCTATGAAAATTGTCACTTACCAAGATCACCTGTAACTCTGTAAGATCCATTTGCAAAAATCCAGAAGAAAATGCCTCTGGCACTTCTAATCAGAATACCGCCTTTATTAACTCTTGCTGCAATGAACACACCTCCCATCTCAGGGGTCTCTATATAAACATCACACTTTACAGTCATATTGGTCCTGCAGAATGAAATGGTTGATAAGTATTCTTAAATTATGCCATTCCTAACATAGCACAAACATTTCACTTCACAGCACATACTTTCAAGCTTCTAATTGAGGCTAGAATGCGATTTCTTAAGTCTGAGGTTAAAGCAGAGCCAGGCTTCAAGAATTTGCACTGATGACAGTTTTAAGTTTTATATGATTAAATAAAGTCATTTCATTGCCTCTTTTAATGGGTTACTGGACGATAATGGTCACTGTTTTCAGTTTCTTAAGAAAATACTTCTTAAAAGAAAAAATACTTCTTTTCTCTCTATAATAAAATAACCTCATCTTAAGAATATAATAGTGAAAAAAATATTCTATGAACACATAAAAGTTAAAAATTTCTATATGATTCTCACGAAAATGGTTTATTCAAGTTTCCATCAACAAAGAGAAGCAATGAAGGCAAGGAAAGGAGCCTCTGGGAGAACATGAGCTACTTTGGGGCCAGTGTTTACACTTAAATCTAGCAAGACTTAAGAATTCCAGAACAAAGGCCTGAAATTATTTCTCTGCAAGGACAGAGTCAACCCAGAAGGAAAGCCTGCACATAGCCAGGTAATAAGGAAAGTAATTTATTTAAAGTAAGACTAAGAACACTAAGACATCTATTTTGGAAATGGAGGGGAAGAGAAATGGATCTAGAATTATACAGCATTTATATTTCTCAAAGTTTCCTATTAGTGAATTAAGCACAGTAGAGGGACCTTTTCTCTACAGATTAGCTCTAGCACAAAACCACTAAGGGTCAACAGTTACTTATATCCCCTCCCTGGATCATCAGAAGTTTGAAAGTGCTACAGATACTGTCCACAGCATAAAATTATTCTACTTAGAATTGGAATCAGAAAAAAAATCAAGCTTTTTCTTTTTTACTTAACACATTCCAGAACAAGTGATTCTTGCATCACAACTTGACAGGAAATTTTGCAGATAATGCATGAAACAGAAAGAAACATGTTATTCTTCCACAGTCACAATTTCCCAGTTGTGGTGAGAGAACAAAATCCAGCCAATATATTAAGTAAATACGACCCAAGGTAAGTTCATCTGTTCATCTGCGAGGAAAGGTAATGTGATTGTTTTCAGATTCCAGCCAAAGTTTACTAACAACACAGAAAGGCTTAAGTAGCTTTAGTAAAGTCTACCCTTTATTGTCAAGTTACTATACTGGTACTTAACTAAATCTAAGAGAGGAAGTTCTACTGAAAAGTGCAATTCTATGAACTTTTGGCATGGTGCTGATCTGATTTATCAGAAAATCACTACAGATAAACTAATCTTCCCTTTCTGACTCCTACAAGGAAGATAATCACTAAAAGGAGGCAATGAGGTATCATCACATGAGCATGGGTTATAGAGCCAGAGAGACTTGACTTCTAACCGTGGTTCTGCCACTTAACAAGTACAGGAACTTGGTCAAATCTTACTCCAAAGCCTCAGTTTCTCAATCTACAAGGTAGGAAGGATGATATCTCTACCGTAAGGTGGCTGAGGGTAGTCCATAAAAGTGTCTAGTATTACCCAGTTTTCATTCCCTTCTTTTCCCAAAACACGTGGGCATGGTAACCAGACAACAGAAATAAACATAAGATCTGTGTGATCTCTGAGAAGATCTGGTGGAGTAGAGGATGGAAGATTAGAAGAATAACACATAATAGATACATGAGACCAAATTATAAATGGTCTTGGATGTCAGGCACAGAAGTGTAGAGCTGATTCAGTAACAGGAGAGAGACACTGCATAGTCCTGAGCAGAAGAATATATGATGAAAATAGGGCTTCGGAAAGATGAAACAGTCCTTTCTTGGCACACATGCATTTCTAATCTGGGTCCCTTTCTTTCAGAATGTGTCACCGTGTCCCTCTCTCCATAATGCCCATCATCCTTCTCTTCCCTATCTCTTTCCCTACTGGAATAGATCCTAGTGAAGACCGAGTATTGCTATTTAAATACTGCAAAATCTTCAAACACTTCAAGTTTTTTTTTTAGTTAATCTTTGAATGACACTATATTTCGTCTTTCCACTATACAATTAAGGGGCCTCTCAATTTTTCTAGAGTCTCAGCCAGAAGTAAGAGAGTTTGCGTTCAGGAAGTGCCCTCTATAGTATTCTTAGGCATACAATACAGAGGTTGTCACAGAAAAGTTAAAGGCTCCCTATGGTGGCTGGCTTTCAAATTCATGATGAAAACAATGGGGTCCACACCTTGGACACTTAAATCCAGCCACCTGTCTTACAAAAAGACCATTAGTCACAAATGAGGAAGTCACAGACTCCATGCCATGTTCAGAAAACCCAGGTAAAGTATACCTTGGAGACAATAAGGTAAATAGCACTTCTGTGGTATAAAAAGATGAGCCACCAAAGTTATCCTAAATTAGGGAAGAATTCTTCACTCTTCCTCAATAACCCTCCATGTGCTCTAAGAGTTCCAGGGACTCTAGACAACTGAAAGTGTCTCGAGACTTCTGCCAGAGCCTAGGACTGGAATCAGGTGCAGGACTGGGAGTATGGCAGCACAGCACGCACAGACCTTCTGCAGGAGTCCACAGAGAGGCCGTTTAAGGCTCTGTTCAGTATTATTTTCTCTTCCCAGACCAATTTCCAAGCTGACTTGGCATTACCAGTTAATCTCTAAATCTGGAATGCTTGTGTATAGGGCTTTTTTCTCACAGTGGAATTATACTAATTATAAGAAAAAAATAGAAAAGAAACACCTAAAACATAGGTCAGCACACTGACATTCCATAAAAGTGAAGGAATTAGAGGAGAAGATGCAGTTTTGGTTTCGTCATTATATTTTCAGTGAATAAGAAATACAACTTGACTCTTTACTAGATACTTAAGAGTTAAATTCCTAAGCAACCAAAGCTGATTTTGCTTTTCACATTGCCATCTGTCACTCAATAGATTTTCTACAAAGGCTGAGGACAGTGTTAATCCAGGAGGTGGCAGCACCAAACTAATAAATCACCTCTCCAGCAAAACAAAAAACATAACACACAAATCTCAAAGTCTACTTATAAATAAATATTAAATTACAATTGGATCCAAAAGTCTTCAATACAGGGTGGTCATAAATTTCATGTGTAATTTTAAATTTCACACTGTTTTAAATTTCACACTATTTTAGACTGCATACAAACTTTATGACTACCCTATGTTTATATTAAAATCGAACTGCTCTCATCACTATTAAATTACACAAATCTGAGGGAAGGACACTGAGGAAGCAAAACAATTTGCAGCTTTTTGGTTATCATGATATTCAATAATTATCACACATGTATTAGATTTGTGAAAAGGAGGACACTTGAAAACTCTTCACTTCAAAATGTATCTGCTAATAGTACAAGGTTGTTTCAGCCAGATGTATCATTTGGTACATAATCAACCTTACATACCATTTGTAATCTCCAATAATACTGATCGTGCTGGATGCATCAGCAGCCCATGTGATGGGTCGCTGATTAAGAACTTGGCGCAATGTGAATCGATGCTCTCCAGAATCTTCGATATTTGTATAGTATTCAAATACACCAGTCTGATCAGCAAAATTCGGAGCTTCACTAAAAAATGGGTAATCTATTCAGAACACAATGAAGTCTGAGTTTAGTATGAAATCCTTACAGAATCTCTCCTCACTGATATTTCATAGTACATTTTGAAACACTTTTGAAACCTTTTAAATAAGCAAATAATACTTATAATCAATCAACATTTAGGATTTAGGTCTCATAAAGAAAAAGTGGTTTTGGTGTCATTATTAAATCACAAGATGATGGGTCTGACACAAGATTGTGCTATTTTTAAGCTAGGCTTTTGGTGAAGAGGAAAGGTCATGATTCAGTTAGACCAGGTTCAAAATCTAACTCAGTCTGTCACCTTGGGAAAGTTTCTTAACTGCCTTGCATCTCAGCTTCTTCATTTCTAGGTAGGCAAGAGGACAGAAAATTAAATGAGAGCTAGCACCTAGCAATGCCTCAATAAGGGACAGTTATATTATTTCTAATATCTGTCAAGCAAGGTTCCACATCACTGCTCATAATCACTGGCTGAAAGAACACCAGAAAGGTATTATTAACATATCAAGTACAGAATCTACAAATTTTCTTCTGCTTCTAAACTAAAGCAAATACCAGTTGGGGGCTTATGTTATCAATCCCTTTTTAGTTTAGTATTACTAAACTAAAATTTGATTATAGTCTTACAATAAAAAAGGCTACTAGAAAACAACTTTATTCTCATCTTACAGTTATTTCTACTTCATGCTTTTCCAAGTGTTGTTACATTCATTACCTCATATGAGATATGTAAGAACCACATCAAGTAATTTCAGAGCTTGGCTTTTGATTTTTACCTTTATTTTTATTTTGAAGGCAATAAAATATTATACTTGAGATTTGGAGGTCTAGAATTGCCTTGTATTCAGTGTCATAGAATGCTAGTTTGGGTGTTGACAGAAGTTCTTTAATCTCATTAACTAGGCCATATCCCACACAGCTTCCTCACCTACTGAAGGCAAGAAGATTCACCTCTGGCAATAGTGAGCTGAGAAATAAATGGCAAAGATAACATGTTTTGCTAATTAATGACTTCATCTAATAGGCCATTTCAAACAGTTACAGGAAAGCAAGCCACCAAGCTCCCTTGAGAGCCACTGTTGTCTACATTATCCAAACAGTTGAGATCAAAGAGGACTCCAGTATCCAAAGGGCCTTAGATTCTGTTAACTAGATCATTTCCTGAGAAGGGGAGCCGAGACCCTGCAGCAGCGACCCTGAGAGGTGGTAGGAGTCTCCATCTTTGGCGAAACAAGCAGCTCTGTGGCCAACAGGAGGTTCAAGTCACTCTCTAATGCCAGTTTTTTTCCCTATTCCTCTCCTATAGCTTTAGATTTTGAAGCAGATTACAGAGCCACCCAACCCTGTCTGCGAGACTCATAATCCATATACCACCACCTACTAATCCACATACAGAAGGTGCCACAAAAATGTCTGCACATTTTAACGAAGAAAAAAAATTGTATTAAAATTATAATACTCAATATATGCTAATAACAAAAGATGAATACAAGTCACATGGAGCACCTCTTGTAATTTCAGAAATCAAACGTGACCTGAGCATTACACATTTAATACAGTTTTTCCTTTCTTAAGATGTATAGACATTTTTGTGGCATCCTCTGTATTTTGTTGCTTACTGAGTGATTTTAGAAATATAACCACAATGACCACGTTTTCTAACTTTTTCCCAAATGGTTTTCCTAAGTTACCTATAACTAAAAACTGACAACTTTAGGCCAGATCTTCCTAGTAAACACCAGGAGAACTATAATAAAAAAAAACAAAAAAAACCAAAAAAACTCTCAGGCACAACAAGAAGGTACATAATGACATAGTGACTTGGATTATCCAAGGATAACACAAGTGCCCATAAGCACTCTTTCCATATCTGAAAAGACAGACAGACACTAAAGTGCCTTGACCTCTACACAGTAGGAAGATGCCAGTAATGGCTACCGAGGCAAAGTTACAAAGTTTGTTTGACCAAAAACAATTTAGAATTACAATATCCACTCTGACAATGACCTCTACATTTTTTCAGCCACTGAAAAATACAGAATCTTCAAATTGAGATTTACTCTAAAGTAATATAAAAGTTAGGTCTCCTTTTACCACATGGAGATTTGAGAGCTAAATGATCCTGCTTTTGACAACCACTCCATCATGCACCCAGTTTGACAAGTGGAACTCAACACACGACTGCTGAAGACGGAGGCCAAGTTTTCATGAAAAATACTTACCAACATTGAAATCATCCTGATAGATACTTGGGAAGGGCTGGGATTTCGGGGGAGGTAAGTAGCTGCCTTTGCTACCTCTGGTGATAGTGGTGAGTGTGAACAGCTCATTCTCTTGCAATTCTAGGGTGAAAGTGCCTCTGCTGTCAAGGAGCTGAAAAAGAAGACACCACTGTATTCAAGGCAAGGTGCTATGGTTCATCACACTTGGGCAAAACAGCTTTTCAAAAAATAAAGAAAAATCCAACTCATTTCTGTGAAAACTTCATAAACACTTATGAAAGACACACCAATACCAAGGCCCTTGGAATCTTTTTTCTAAAGTATTTTAAAGTCTCTATAAACCTATACTTTATAGAAAGTATTTCTAAAGCATTATGCTTCATGAAAAAAAGGACTAGGTGACCACCAAGTCTATTTCTATTAGTCTACTCTTTTCCACTATACTTGAAGCTCTGTAAAGCATCTGTATATCCAATGCATGCAACTAAGAGACCTGCTTATTTCTCTATTAGAGCTTTACTAAGATAGAAAAATCCATAAAATCTCACTGTTGACTCAGCTACTCACCACTGAAATTCTTTTATGATTACAAAATAAACATCCTGCTCATTGTATGTTCAATATCTACAGGGCATCCATAAAGTATGTGTGCAATTTAAAATAATTGTCTATTTAAATCACACATGAACTTTATGGACACCCTATATTTCAATTAGCTAGTTAAGTTTATGCCACACTTATGAGCTTGACAACTTAATTTCTTCAAGCCACAATCTCACCGCAAAATGAGAAAAAAATACATATGCAATAGGGCCGTTGTGAAGATTAAACCTCATAATGTGTAGAAAGTGCTTAACTCAGTGTGTGACAGGAAACACTCCCTATTTCATAATTGTTCTACCCTCTGTCTCTGAAGACATTGGGATCCCTGACATAATCAATGGAGACATTAAATTTATGCCTATTTTATGAAACTTTGTGTTTTTTTCTACTTCAAATAAAAGGAGTTACAATCTTTGATTTAATAAATTGACCGTCAGTTCTATGAAATACTTGATGCTATTTAGAGTGTCCCAAAAGTTGCCCATAAAGTCGCCATTTCAAATTGAGATTTCCCATACATAGGGAAAATGGGAAATTGTAGCTAAATGTACCTTTATTTATAAAAGATTAATTACAAAATATTCTCTATTTGTTAGCTACTTTGTAAAGTTTTGTAATGAATCTGCACTCCTTCTTAGCCAAAAGGCTGAGAAGCAATTTTTATAATGAATCTTTTGTAAATAAAGTACATTTAGCTATAATTTCCCATCTTCCCTATGTATCACAATGTTATGGGTGATTTTTGGTATATCCCAAATCATTATTTTTGTTCCTATGGGAAAAATCAATCTTATTATGCTATTTCAAACAATACACTATACAAAAAATAGAAACCGTTCTTTTTTTAAGAACTTAATATTCTACCATTGATAGGGACTAGTTGATTCTTAGAACATTAATAATTACCAGAAATAGCAGATTTATGTCAATAAAGTGAAGTAATTGTGCTTGCTTGCACCAGTTCATTCTTTGAAACCCTTCCTGAGAAGCTACCATGGTTAGCTAAGAACTATAGTGGGCACCAGGGATGTAAAGATAAATAAGGCAAGGTCCCAATCTTCAAGGTGTTCAACTCAGCGAGAAACACGTTTAACTAGGTGAACACACAGTCCTACAAAGCTATGAGCTAAGACTGGCCGGGAAAGCTTCAGAGGACGTGACCTTAGAGCAGAATCTTGTAAGATGACAGAGAGGAGAAGAAGCCATTCTAGGAAAGGTAAAAGCACGTGCAAAGTGACACAGGTAACGGAACAGGGACACCATGCTCTGAAAAATACGAGAAGTTTAATCTGTGAAGAGAGGCCCATTCATTAGGATAGGTATCTAGGAAGGAAAGCAGTCTTTCACCTCATGAGCTATGAGGAACATGAATTTCTAGAAACAATCACTGAGGTGCTCTAAGCATGGTGTTGACCAAAATCAGATCTCAATTTTAGACATCCCACTCTGGGAGGAGTGTGGCAATTGGCTTACTGAGAGTCAGGGTGGGGGCTGGAAAAGCAGGAGGTAGTTTCTGAAATCTGAATTAATGAACTAACAAGCAGTAGCAGTGAAATGGAGCATCAGAAATAGATAAGAAAAACATGTGAATGATAGAAAGGTCTATACTTGACCAATGGTGGGATACAGAGGACGGATGAGAAAGAAAGAGTCTCAAATTAGACTCAGTTTCTGACCTGTACAGCCAGGTGATGGTGCACCATTTGCCATTATAAACTAAGTCTCTAAGAGTAAAACAACCTATAAACACACAGCTTCTATAATGCTTTGAGTGGGACTGACATTCTTAAAAAATAGCTGGGGACAATTTTATCTCCATTTTCCTCCGGCCATAAAAAAAATTAAAATTTCTTAATTCATTAATCAAATTTCTTTTCCCTTTTAGTGTTTTACTGTTGCAATGCCCAAAATGCAGAAATTTATTTTAAAACTACCCATATAGAATCCAGTTGCTTAAAAAGAAATTTTTCAGATGGCTTTCCAAGTTTGGTATACCACACTTGTAGCTCTGGTATTACACTCTGGAAAAGAAAAGACAAAAAAATACATCTGAATGATTTATCAAATCCAATTTGACAATTTCTAAAATCAGTGCCAGCAAGAATGGACCAATGATAATGTGACTCTATTTCTATTTATCAAAAACCCACCTCAAATCTTACTTTTGAAAACAGGAAAATAGGGCTCAAGTAAATACTTTTTTTATATAAACATTAAAAAATTTTTGGCAAATATTTCAAAAGTCTTTGCTTCAAAAAACTCATTATTGTACCTGTATAAAAAGCTTTTTAAGAATTCTGTGGTATTAAAAAACAATTCCTATGCCATTAATGAAAAGGGCATTACAGTTTCTCAACTCAGATTTAACTGGTAGCAATAGCAAGAATCTGATGCCTTTAAAATTTTTTTCGTATATTAAAGATCAATGCTTAAAAGCAGCATAGGCTGTCTAATGCTTCATCTCCAAGAGTAATTTTCTTGCCTGTGACTTTTGTTAAGTGTTCCACAAAGCCACAGAGAAATTTACCTTCCACTGACTACAGTCCTGTTTGTCTAAAGCCAATCAGAAGACATCAGGGCCCTTGTCTATTCATTGCAAACAGTTAATAGTTCATAATATAAGACTCCACTTAAGAATTGCTGGGCTGGGATGGTGCCTGTGGCTCAGTGAGTAGGGCCCTGGCCCCATACACCAAGGGTGGCAGGTTTGAACCCAGCCCCAACCAAATTGCAACAAAAAAATAGCCGGGCCTTGTGGCGGACACCTGTAGTCCCAGCTACTCAGGAGGCCGAGGCAAGAGAATCACCTAAGCTCAAGAGCTGGAGGTTGCTGTGAGCTGTGACGCCATGGCACTCTACCAAGGGCAACAAAGTGAGAGTCTGCCTCTTAAAAAAAAATGAATTGCTGGGCTGTGATAGATTACATAAATTCTCAAATCAAAATCACACATATTTACTTACAAAAGATCCCTTAAGAACAAAGGTAGCAAGTTGTCGTGACACATTGAAATAAGGAAGAAATGGCCGGATACACATAGACAGTTTATGACTCTGAAAGAAAATAAAACACATGAGTTCTACAAATGACATTCAAGCTATACTAGTGAGAGGAAAGTTAAATAGTTTATGCCTCAAGATTTACAGACATGGTGCACGTTAGGTAACAAACAAGAATTTATTTCAAATTTGAAAAGACTTTTTTCTATTAACCTTTATTGAATGTATATGTATATTGTGTGTGCTTACTCAAAGCAAAGCTCAATGGCATTACAGTTGAATCAAACTTTGAACTCATAGTTAAACGTCAGAAACAGTTATGGCAAACACAGATTAATTTTTGTTATAACTGTTTTCCAAGTAAAATACATCAGATAAAAAGCAAAAGCGTGATTTTTTACTGAAAAAGCATCTCATCTAAATATAACCTTTAAATGCACACTAATAGCTAAAAACACAAAACTAATAATTCTCCCACTGCCGTCATTTTTTACTAAATAATCACTACCGTAAACTAAGACCAAAAGAGGTATGACATAGCCCTACTTGAGGGGATTCAACAATCACAAAGCATTCTTGTCACTTGTACCTGGAACACTGACCAAGGCATACCATACCCTTATTCATAAAACAAGTCTTCCTAAGTTCAAAAAGATTCAAGTCACACAAAGAATGTTTTTTGACCAGAGCAGATTTAAATCAGAAATGACTAACAGAAAACCCTATGGAAAATTCTAAAATACACTAAATAACAAATGTATAAACAATCCATAGGTCAAAGAAAAAGTAAAATTGGGAAGAATTTTGAACTATATGAAAACAAAAATGGAACATATGAGAACTTGTGTGCCACTAATATAGTACATGGGAGGAAATGTATATCACTAAGTACCTAGAGAAACAAAGAAAGGTTCTGAAACTTCAGCTTCCACCTGGAGAGACTACAGAAAGAGAAGCAAATTCGATCCAAAATGAGCAGAGAAAAGAAAATAACAAAGATCAAAGGAGAATCAATTAAACAAAAGAGAATAATCAAGAAAACCAAGAAACTATAAGATATTGGCATCTGTCTCTACAGGTATTCAGTTTTGTATTATATTATTTTTCCAATACTAAAGAGATGACTTAATCCAATAGTAACAAAAATTTACCATAGTTTCAACGATGATGGTGAGGTTACCTAAGCCATCAGACAGAGCTACATAGCTTCCTCCTTTCTCTAAATGGCCAACTGTCTTCAGGTAATACCAACCTGGTTGGGTAAATTGAGTGGTATGAGCTATAAAAAAAGCAGAGAACAATACAAATAAGATAAAAATGGTGATAATGGTATTTTTAAAACAACAACATAAAGCTATATTACCAATTTGAGTTTGATTTCTAACAAGCTAGTTTCTATTTTGGAGGAAAATACCTACCAACCTTATGTTTCAATTTTTAAATAAGTAATACAATTAAACGCTACAATTGCAGGAAGATTCTTGGGATGATGGGTAAAAATAAATGAACCTGTCAGTTCAAGATCTATCTTTTTTTAAAAGAACAAACTAAAGTTAAGTACCTCCCAACTTTTGTCCATCTCTATTTAAGCCAACATAACATAGCTACCAAAAGAGGTTAAAAAAGATAATAATGTATTTCAAAAACTAAGCTTTATAGTTTCAAAAAAATTTATTTCTATAATATGTATATTAATTGGTCACCTCCTAAGCTGGTCCTAAAAAGGTACTAAGCAATATTTCATGTCCCAAACCCCACAATAGTTACAAAATTGGAAGAGTATATTAGTTCATCTAAATAATAGGAGTCAAACAATTCCAACACTAAAGGGATTAATGAACTCATAAGATATACAAGTCCAACTTAATTTTTCCATATTCTTTTAGAAGAACAATCTAATAAGTTTAGGATAATATGATGATTACATGATTAATTTCATGTTCACAAATCTCTCTTAGGAGAACACATCAACTAAAAAAGAAAACCACCAAAATACAAGTTTAAAATAAAAACAAATTCACTTTTTTTTTTTTGCAGTTTTTGGCCGGGGCTGGGTTTGAACCCACCACCTCCAGCATATGGGGCCAGCTATATAAGCCACAGGCACCGCCCACAAATTTACTTTTAACTCATAATTTTCCTCTGAAAACATCTTATCTTTAAAGAAATTTATTTTTTGTTATATTTTAAACAAATAGTAAAATGTTTGATCTTTTACAAAACTATTTCAATATTTATTAGCAACAGATTTTTCAAATTTCATTTAAATTATATTGGTAGTATGGTTATATCCCTTCTGTAAAAAAGTATAACCATGTAATCCATTGTCTGCATGATCTTAACTTTCCTTGTGACTAATGAATGATATTGTAGAAAAACTTTTATGTTTCAATAAAAATGAAGCTATTATCTATAGCCCTGTCTCTGTGCAATTGTATTGTCTCTGTGCAATACAAATTATGTCTTATCTGGCAAAGATTTAATTGATTTCCCCTCTGTGTGGGAAATCCGCTTACATTAGCAATTCATCTCAAGTTCCTTTACTCCACAAAAACTTGTGTTAACTTTTCCTTTGAACTAGTTCCAACATCTGCTTGTTTCCCGCCTACCATATAAGTAACATAAATCTTTAATACGTGTTTTTTTCATCTACATAAGATTCATGATTTTACCCTTTCTAAAACTTACCTTTTAACAATGTATTTGAGGAGATTTAGAGAATAGAAAGCCATGATATTTAATATAGCTTTTATATTTAGTTAATTATTTAAAAATTCAATATAGTATTTGTTCAATACCTATCTTTTTTTTTTTTGGCCAGGGCTGGGTTTGAACCCACCACCTCCGGCATATGGGGCCGGCGCCCTACTCCTCTGAGCCACAGGCACCGCCAAAAAACCTACCTTTGATTGTGTTAATACACTATCCTAATCAATAAGACTGTATCAATATAGAAGAACAAAGGGACTCAAAAACTGAGTTTAAGACTTTTAGAGACCCTGAGTTAGAATGAATCTTTGCATTTTATTACTAATTAACATAATTTGTAATTATACACTTAGATGATTATTTCTATCTCCATCACTAGACAGCTCTCACCCTTCTTCCTCTTCTATTTTTTCCTAAGAACCTGGTCTTAACAATAATCAAGAATGGAATACAGAAAGTAAGTAGTTACTCTAAATAGTCTTATATTAATAAAACACTGGCAAATCTTTCTTAAAATTGAGACACATGTAAAACATGCACACACACAGAGTTTATATAATCTTTTCTAGGTGTTTTCTGCTTTGTCTTTTAGAGAGGAATTTAGGGAGTAAGGGATGGAATGAGAACCATACCTGTGACCCAGATAGGAGATTCTACTACATAGTGCCCACTCCATGGCTCCTGGGCAGTCATCAAGCCACAACGCCCATACGGCAACTGTTCATAGTAACTAGCCACCAAATTCCAAGCGATTGTGCTGAAAGTTTTGTTTGATAAAAGAGAAACACCAAAACAAGATAAAAATTTCAATGTCCAAAACCTTAAAGTAAAAAGACTTTATCATAGTTGTACAAATAAATGTAAATGACCGTAAAATGACCACCCAAAACAAGAAAATATAAGTTGCCTAAATTCACTCACAATTTGAAAAGTTGAGTGTTGGATCCATTTAAACATTATTAAAGGTAAATCACAAATAAAAAAATATATAAATGTCTTATGGGACGGACATGCTTTTTACTGAACAATGACGTAGGCAGAAGGTCAATCATGTCCTACCAGTACCAGACATGTCACAAATTTGAGCCAAATATAAAGGCTTTATCCATACCTGCTTTCCTTTCCAGAGCCTTCTTAAGACCCCAGTTTCATGACATAATTTTATGAACTTGAGTCCGAACTGTTCCAAAGTTTGTAACTGAGAGGTCCTAGAGCCAGACTGCCTGGTTTCAAATCATGGTTCTATCACTTAACCTCTCTGGACCTCAGTTTCCTCATCTATAAAATGAGAATATAACTGTACCTAGCTCATGTGACTGTGCTAAAGAGTAAATCTACTAAAGTGTATGAAGAGAATGGAATATGGTCTGGGCCATAGTATTGCTGTCATGCTACTTCATCTGTAAGTAGTAACTGAATCAGCTTCTGGTCTGATTTTTGTCCCATTTTTCAGATGATCAAGCCATGATAGTCCACAGCAGGTACTGAACCCTAAAGCTGTGATTCTATAGTTCTCAGAAAATTTAAGGGCAAAAAAGTTCTCAAACCTGGTACCATCGAGTTCCTTGCAGCTAAAAACAAAAAGTTTACCCATTGAATTTTATTTTTCTCATCAAGTCCTCATCCATCATAAAAAGACATTCTTAGCAAACCAAAGCCTTCTTATTCTGTCAACACAAAGTAGAAATAATGGTCCCAACTTTCAAAAACCTTACTACCAGGAACATTTCAAGAGTTCTCATGATTTTGCCCATAGTTTACAAGATGCCTTATATCCTGCCTGGCTACTGACAGAGGAATAAATTGAGACAAACTTTCAGAAGGGAATTTCCTAAAATATGTACAAAAGCCTTCAAAATCTATATACATATATCTCTGATCTAAGCATTTCATTTCTAAGAATACACCCTAAGGAAATAATCATAAATGTATACAAAGATACTAATATACAATTGATCATTTTAGTTTGTACAAAGCTCTTAATTAAAATACAGACAAAATGTAATGGTCACGATGTAAGGGCACAGGGTATATACCCTCCTGAGTGAGAGACACAACTACAAAAGGGACCTCACCTAACAAATGCAAACATTGTAACCTAATCATCATGTACCTTCATATTAATCTGAAATTTAAAAAAAAATAGAAACAACTACTATTTTTAAAAAGCGGGGAATATTTAACAAGGTATGATATATTTTCTACATCAGCATTTCCCAAACTTGTGTGGCATCAGAGTCACCAGGAGGTACCGACTAGACACCCAGAATCCCAGGAGCCTTCCTTCCAGATTCTGAGTTAATAAGTCTGGGTAGCTGCTGAACAATCAGTAGACCAAGTATCTCAGGTGCGTCTTAAGGCAAGTTTGGGAAATACTGCATTATGTGACAAAATATACATACGTGTTAAAAATTATAAAGTAGAAATATTCTTAACTAAGAGAAAAAGTTCATAATGTCATGTTAAGTGAAAAGCAGATTACTGATAAACAGATTATATAGCATGGTCTGAATTTTGTACATACATATAAGTAAGAGAATATACACCAAAATTTTTAAGGATTTTTTTTGGGGGGATAGTAAGATCATGAGTGATTTTTTTTTCCTTATTTGTACTTTAGCTTCTAATTTCTCTGCCATGAACATGCATTGCTTCTAATTCCAAATTATTATAAACAACCTATGATATGCATATTTTCTCTCCAAAATAGACGTAAAAGAACAAATGCAATATACAGCAACTCATATTAACATCACAAAAGTGTATATATCTGTTTGCTTTTGTTCTATTTATCATTATTTTAGAAAGCTAATTTGAATTTAATTACAATTAAAGTGTTTTTCAAAGCATTTAAGAAATGCTTCTCTTAGGCAAAAAAAAAAAAAAAAAGAGTTGGGTTCTTACTTAAGAGCCTCTGTTTTGTAAACAAACAATTATATAAATTAAGTGATGAGGAATCAATCAGGCAGATGGAGAAGTGGACAGTTCACACACAATACAAGTGGCCTGGTCTTCTCAAAAGATCACAGTTATAAAAAATTAAGAATAAGGAAACTATTCTAGATTAAAATATACTTGAAGGGCATAACTTCTAAATGTAACACACAGTGCTCGACTAGATCTTCCTGTTAAAAAACTGCTGTAAATGACATTTGGGGAGACAATTAGTAAAATCTGAATATAGACTGAGTATTGGAAATATTTTAAAATGCTCTTCTGTATGAAAATGATATTATGATCATATTGAAGAATATCCTTACGTTTTGGATACATATGCTCAAATATTTATATATTGGAAGTGTCATGATATGTTATTTACTTTATAATTGTTCATTAAAAACTTATGTAGCTTGTCAAAAATTAGGGAGCTGCAAATCTTTTACCATATATATAAAGTATACCTCAATAAACCTGACTTTATTTAATATAGAATATATTCAAATATAGGAAAATAGATATAAATTACAGATTAGATATAGATGAAATAAATAAGACAAAATGTTTACAATCATTGAATCTAGGTTGTACAAATATAAAGTTCATTTTATTCCTATTATGTCGCCCTAAAAGGTTTTTAATAACTTACGAAGTCATATCGCCATTGACATAATTCTGATTCAATATACGACCCAAGCAACCTGCACCCAAGTCATTATTTACAGTGCTAAAATCTTCAGAAGCCCAAAGCTTCTTCTCAGTCAACTTTGCCTCTCTTGCTGAATGGGTTCCAGGATAATGAGCCCTAGAAAAGAAAGGTTGAGAGTTAATGGGGAAAGGTCAGAACATGGCACTTATACATAGTTATTAAGTATATAAAAATACAAGTCCTCTCCAGGCTTTCTATTTTTAAACTGTGCAGCTCCAGGTAGATGGCAGACAGATGTGAGTACGCACTTCCTGTCCTGTCTCAGGATGCCCTTAAAAATGACAGCAAAGAAAATAAAAGGAGACAAAACTACTACAGCACATAGCATGGCAAAGAAGACCATCACTGAATGAAAAGTTTCAGTCTGTTTCTGGAAACTACAAAATAGATGGAAATACACTGATGGATGGATGTAGCAGAGGAGGCCACAACCTAGAACACTGAAAAAAAGAGAATGAAGTGGAGACGAGATTCAGACTTCCCAAGGGAAGCCAGAGAGCTTGTCATAGTAGGACAGGAGTAAGGAGGAGGCTTACTAAACTAAGACTTTACTAAACTTACTAAACTAAGACTAGTTAGTCTAATACATAAAATGGTACCTTCTCCTCTAGTAGACAGAGAAAGACAGTGTGGCATGTACTCCCAGGCAAAGCAAAGCAAAAAAGCCCAGATGGTTCTTTCTTGAATAAAGAGGACAAACGACCTTGGGAAAACTAGAAATTACTATCTCAGAGTAGTGGTAGTTCTCAACCAGGGTGATTCTGTTCTGGGAGGGGATATTTGGCAATATCTGGAGACATTTTTTTCCAATTGTTCCACTTGGAGCAGGGGAAATTTGCTACCGGCATCTAGTGAACAGAGGCCAGAAATGCTGCTAAATACCCTACAATGCACAGGGTATGCTGCTAAATACCATACAAGGCAATGAAGGACAGATGCACTACAAAAATAACCCAATGAAGAGGCTGAGAAACTGCCCCAGAAATTTAATCCTTCCTTCCTTTTAGCATTTGTAGGAGTAAAATACTGCCACGACAGCTGTGGAAGCTCCTGACTATAGGAATAAAAACAATTAAGAAATTTTAAGTGTAAGGTAGAAAACAGACGGACAGTTAATACAACAGTAAGAGAGCACCTTAGCTAAATAACTGTAAGAATAAAAGTGTATACTTCTTATGTCAACAATTATTTACAAAAAAATTAATAATAAAGGCAAAATAATGGAGACTGGATTGTACAATTATAATTTTTGTAATCTGATGTAGTAGTATTTGTAACATTGAAAAACTGAATGTGAAGATCTATTTTACTTTTTAGTTACTTAATTCCATTTTAGATCATAGATCTTTTAAGAAAAGGTCCAATTTGGGAAGATGAATTAGGGCACATCAGTTTGGCATCCCACGATTTCATGAGCAAGAAAAGAATATACAACATGAAATATATAAAAAGAAGTACTAGAGAAAAATGAGTTCCACCAAGATTTCTGAGTCGCTGAACTCAGGCATGTACCAATTATATTGCAAATCTACACTAAAAAGACTGCCATAAACAACCTAGCACCAAACAAGGTTAAGAAATTATTACTTCTGCACTAAAAAGCCACTAAAAAAAAATAAGAAAAATAAAAAGCCTAACTTGAAAAATCTGACTGGTAATTTTTTTTCTTTTTTTTTTTTTACAGTTTTTGGCCGGGGTTGGGTTTGAACCCACTGTCTCTGGCATATAGAGCCAGTAACTCCTTTGAGCCGCAAGGTGCTGCCCTGCTAATGTTTTTAATAATAAAAATTTAATACATTTTTACATTTTCAATTTATTCTTATATCTCACAACTTCATTCTATTACCATTACAGTTAGCTTTGGTGCATCAGACAACTATTAATTTTTAAGATTCAAATAGTTTTCATTCAGCCAAATGTATATTTGGTGTATCTCATAAAAATATATTTGTATATTAAAAAAAGAAAAGCCTGGAAAATAATATGTGATCATGTTACTAATGTTCAATAGATGTTAGGATTATAAGTAAAATCTAATTCTACTTTTACAGTTTCCTACATTTTCCAAATTTTCAAAAATAACATGCATTATTTTTATAATCTGAAATTTTATCTCTACTACAGTTACTTCAGTAAAGAAGTAATCAAGGGGTCTATACTTCATTCATAAAATGAAAAGTTCAATGTTCAAAACCTGAGCACATGACTGAGCAAAGAAAAACGGAACTTTTTCCAAAATTTGGGTCTTTCTCAATGTCCAAATTTATTGCTAGTATAACAAAGTGTAGACTCCATGAGAATATAATTTTGTTTACATATATAATCAAGTAAAATTTCTCTATCATTTCACAGCATGATTTTTCAAACTTCAATGACAAATAAAATTAAGATCACTGAAAGTAAAGCAAATTTTTCCTAACAGAGCAACAGTTTTATATTTTAAAAAATTGAAACTTCTGGACAAGGCAGATCATGATAGTAGCCTACAATTTGAGACTCTCTAGTACTCCTTCTGAAACCAAACAAACCAGATGAGGTAGGGGAAACCCTATAGATAAATCCTCATTAGAACTAGGTGACAGGGAAATCCCAGGAGCTCCACAGCATCAGGACTGGCCCAGGATCAGCAGATGGTCTATGGAAACAGTGGAAGTGAAGAGAACTGGCAGGTACTCACCCCTACACAAAAAGACCGTACCCTAAACAGGAGTACTGAATAAAAACTCATGAAATTGGGAGTGTTTTCACAGAGTTGAAGTTGGGGGGAGGGGAATAAATGTCAAAAACAGTGAATTCACTAAGAGATCAAACACAATACTGTGAAAATTAAACCAGACTTGTCTAATAGAAAGACAAGGTCGCACAATTCAGTATGCAAAATCTCCACCATTCACTTACATTGGCTGCACTGTACAAACAGCTTGGTAAGGTTTCATAACCTTGGTATATCAATGTCTCATAGTTGTGTTCATGTCAACCTACAGCAATGTCATGCTGAGTAGCATTCATTTTTGCTGTTGCATGGTTTTGTGTGCCACTGCAAGAATGCTGGAGCTTCTACCCAATGGGCACAATGTAAAGATATATGGCACATCTCCTGGGTGCAGGACACAAGTGCAACAAGGACCTTACCTAATACATACAAACACTGTAACTTAATCATTTATACCCTCATATTAATCTGAAATTTAAAAAAAATAAAAAGAATGTTGGAGCTTGAATTAGAGCAATAAACAAACATTCATTAATTTCCTGTTAACTTTGGCAAGTGTAGAAGTGAAGTCAGGGACATGTAAGTCAAAGTTTATAGGGATAATGCCATGAAGAAAAGAGTAGTATGCAACTGGATTCAATGTTTTTCTGAGAAGAAACAAAGCATCACTGATGAAGAGAGGTCAGGGTGGCCAATCACAGGCAGAACAGATGAAAAATTGCAAAAATTCTTCAAACTGTGCATCAAAATATTCAGCTGACTGTGAGAAGCATAGTAGACCAAGAAAACATCAATAGAGAAACAGTTAGGAAACCTTAACTGAAAATCCTAGCCGCCAACCTGAATCACGACAATGCACTAGCTCACACACCACTGTCTATGAGGGAATTTTTAGCTGGTAAACAAATAAATGTACTTCAACACACTCCATACTCAACTGATCCGGCCCCCAATTACTTTTTTCTTTACCTGAAGATAAAGGAAATATTGAAAGGAAGACATTTTGATGACATTCAGGACACCAAGAGTAATATGACAATTGCTTTGATGGAAATTCAAAAAAAAGAGTTCTAAAATTGATCTGAAGGGTGAACTAGGCACTAACACTAGTACATAGTTTCCCAAGAGGACTATTTCAAAGCTGCCTATAATGATATTCAACAATGAGGTACGTAGCATTTTTTCTAGAATGAGTTCACAAATTTAACTGTCATATCTTCTATGATATGAGCCACAAACGTAATTTTAAATTACCTAGTAGCCACACTAAAAAAAAAAAAGGTTCTTACCATGATTAAAATACATACATGAAAAAAAATCAATTTAATCTAAAAAGCAAAAGGAAATAGGGGAATTAATTTTATCTTATTGTTATGCATGATATTACCATTCAACATGTAGTGAAAATAAAACAATTATTCATATTTTAGTTTTTTTATATTAAATCTTAAAAATTCAGTGCATATTTTGCACTTAAACCTAAATTTAGGTCAACCACATTTCAAGTGCTCCATTGACAAGTGTGTCTAGTAGCTACTGTTTTGGATAATACAAGCATAAGACCCTAACAATTTCAGAAAAAGGTAGTAAACAATCCCTTTGGGAATAATAGCACCTCGCCAGGAAAATAAGTTGGTAAGGTGCTATTAAGTACGTGAGTGAGGCAACAGCACTTAAGAGTAAGAGAAAAACAACATTAATCAGTAGGAGAATGGGGCCCAGAGAAAACATGCTCCAGAGAATACTGTAACTGCAAAACAAAACTGTGCAGATAGGGCACAAGCCAAGCACAGCATGAAGGAGGGAGGGAATTATACTGTTCCTATGGAGGTGGGAGCCAAGAAATAAACATCTCCCAAACAAAGGTCCAATATACTACTATAGCCAAAAAATGGAAACAGTGAAAATGACCACTAACAAAGACTAGACAGATAAGTTGTGGTATACTCCTACAATTAGAGGCTAAACTATTAAAATTAACTACATCTACACCTGGTGACATGAGTTAATCTTAAAAATAAAATGTTGACCAAAGTAGCAGCTACTAAAAGATGTCACTTACATAAAGTTTTTAAACAGGGAAAAATAGTCTGTGGTGTTAGAGATCAGATTAGTAGTTATCTTTAAAATTAAAAAATGGTTAACAGAAAGAATTCCAAGAAGAAAGTTTCTTGAGTACTGATAACTTTCTGGGTGGTGGTTATGTAAGTACATGCTTGTTTTGTGGTGATTTATTAAACTATACTCCTACGATTTGTGTACTCTTATATATCTATGTATTTATGCTATAGTTCAATTAAAAATTTTTAAGATGAATTGTTAGACAACAGAGATTTGGAAAACTAAATGAGAGAATTATAGAATTATTATTTTGAAAAGGAAAATAATTTTAGAATTGAAGACTACACTAGAAGGAATGTAAGACAGAACATACACTATGAAAAACTCAAGAAGTAAAATAAGATAGTAAGAGTAAAATTATAGAAAAGTAAACAGAAATAAAGACACAAAGAAAATTTGAGAGAAATACAGAATAAAAGCAAATGAAAAGGACTGGAGCTCCTAAAGGAAAACCAAAGTGATGGTGCCAAATAATTATTTAAATTATAATTTAAGTAAACTTTACTGAAATAAAAATAAATATAGATATTTAATGGGTATATGTATATCTGGAAATGGTAAATCATACAAAACTATTTAACTTTAAAGATAAATAAAAATATTCTTTGGACACATAAAGAGAAAGTAACTCTGAAAGCAACACTTTACGTAAGCAACCAACAGAGCAAATTCATGATACTCAAGGATTAAGAAAAGGTATATATCCAGGCAAACTATCGTTCATGAATAAAGACCATAGATAAGCAGTAATAAACATGTAAAAAAATTAAGAAATGTTGTTCCCATTAGTACTTTCAAGGCATCTAATAGATATTAAGCTTCTAACACCCAAGAAAATGAGGGAGAAACTTCCGCAAAAGACTTAAAGATGAGCATTAAATATGTTTAACCATCAAGCCAGATTAAAAGAAAGAGTGATTAAATACAATTACTAATGTACCACTAATATTCATATAGCTGACAATGGGAGAAGAGGGGATGGAAGTGAAATGTAAACTAAGTTAGCAGATTGGGAGTAAAAGATTATAACATGCAGCAGCCAAGTCAAGACGGTAGAAGCTCATGTAAGAATACAAAGATTAACTCCAAGATAATTCTGGTCATTAAAATTCTATGGTAGAAGAGAGAAGGAGAGGGAAAAAAGGTTATCAGCGGTTCCTCAATTTCAGCACTATTGACATTCTAGATCTGTGCATTAGAGCAGCAGTCCCCAATCTTTTTGGCACCAGGAACTTGTTTCATGGAAAACAAGGAGGGCAGGGCATTAGATTCTCAGCGGAGCGGGAAACCCACATTCCTTGCATGCACAGTCTACAGTAGGGTTCATGCCATGATGAGAATCTAATACTGCCCGAGTTTAACTCATTCTTTAAAATAAGGATATTTTCAGAGTGCCCATAGCACAGTGGTTATGGTGCCAGCCACATACACCAAGGCTGGTGGGTTCAAACCCGGTCTGAGCCAGATAAACAACAATGAGAACTGCAACAAAAAATAGCCAGGCGTTGTGGCTGGTGCCTGTAGTCCCAGCTACTTGGGAGGCTGAGGCAAGAGAATCGCTTAAGCCCAAGAGTTTGAGGTTGCTGTGAGCTGTGACACCATCGCACTCTACCCAGGGAGACAGCTTTAAACTATCTCAAAAAAAAAAAAAAAGAATATTTTCAGAGCAGCTTGCAAAAAAGCAAAATCTAACTCTCTGCTGTATGCAAACAATTCACCTAAAACAAAAGGAATTTGAAAGGTAAAGAAAAGAAGGATGGGCAAAAATATCCAAGGCAAATATGAGTGAAAAAAAGCACGGGTCTTTTAATAACATGCAAGCAGAATTCAATCCAAAAAGCATTAAATGAAATGAAGAATGACATTTAATAATGATAATAGTTGCAAATCATAAGGAAGATAAAACATTTATTAATTCCTATGTACCAAACAGCAAAGCAGCAACTATCATGCATCAGAAACTAAGATTGAAAGGAAATGTAGACACTCACTAATAAAAGGAAACAAAACACTCTTGGTAGCCCTGTACAGTTCAACTGAATAAAATAAGACACAGGATGCAATATAATCAATACAGTAGTAGATCTTACACACTCAGCTCTGTATCCTGATAAACAATATATCCTAGGGCAGCGCTTGTGGCTCAAAGGAGTAGGGTGCTGGCCCCATATGCCAGAGGTGGCGGGTTCGAACCCAGCCCCGGCCAAAAACTGCAAAAAAAAAATACATTCTAAAAAGTCAAAACAAGTTCTTGAGATATTAAAAAAAAAGCAAGCTTTTTTAAAAAATGATTTTGAAAATATTCAAAAAAATAAGATCTTGAGAAATTAAAAAAAATACGTTTAGCATTACATGACTAAAATTAGGAATTAATGATAAAACAGACCCTGGAGCTAAAGCTAAAGTAGTGCCCAGGGGGAAAATTCACTGCATTGATACTCATATAAACAAAGACATATAAACAAAGAATTAAACACCCATCTTCTTCCTGAAGATACAACAAAACCCATACTTTCATTTAAATATTTTTCCCTAATCATATATATTTGAGATCAACAGAACTTTATTTTCCTTCAAGACGAGAGCTATAGAAATTTTAATGATAAAGACAAATTTTTCATTTAAGTATCAATTGCTGAAATGTTTAAAAATAAGGCATAAATATATAGCTCATCTTGCCAAAAAAAAAAAAAAAAATGAAGCCTAAATCCATCTAATCAGATTTGTACCAACTTCCAATAAGAAACAGGATAAATGATATGAATGTTTTGACATAATAACTAAGAAAGTTACATGAAGGCTATGTTAACCAGTTTGATGGAAGTGTTTTGGATTGTGTATGAAAACACCACACTGTACCCCCAAAGTGCATCAATGTACACAGTTACCATTCAATAAAAAAA